TTACCTTGACGGCACAACCAAACGATGAAAGAAAGAAACAGACGACATAAATGTGGTGGAGGGAACGCTTGCTTTGTCGTCTGCCTGCCAAGTTTAGCGGCCGTTGGTTACTTTCTACGCTTCGTAAAATTGTACATCGATGCAGAAGGTTCCAGTGTTAAATAAAACACGTTTCTATGCAACGGCAAAAATAAATAGCCTAATATGTACTCTTTCAGTAGAAAATTAGTCATTTTAACGTGAAGCCAGACGCGTCTTTGAAGTATACAAATCCGAGCCATGTTTGAAGCTCACATATTCCATCATTCTCTTGCATCCAGCAGCTCATTAGCGCCATATTTGTCTCTGGGTAAGCTTGAGAGAAACTCTATGCCAGGAACATGATCCAGCTAAGCCGGCAGGTGCATCATGGCTAGATTGAATAATAAAGGAGACAGCACTGCACTTTGTGGTGTACGTCTAGTTCCTAAAGGGAAAGGGTCGTGTTTCTTGTCCTCTATGCGAATGTAGGGTTGTCTGTCGGTTAAAACCCGCCGAATGTATTCGAATGCTCTCAAGCCACAGCCAGTTTGTGAAAGGTGTGTTAAAATTGCCTCATGGGTTACATGGCCGAAAGCAAGTACAACCATGTCGTTGTGAGGGCGTTCGACAGGGTGTAGGATATCCCGATTAATTTGAAGCAGAATGACTTGCACGGATCTGTACGGGCGAAACCCGTGCATGTAATCTGCGAAAATACGTTGATTTTCCATAAACTCAGACAAACGATCCCGCATTATCGTCTCCATCAGTTTGCCCGTACATGATGTGAGAGAAATGGGGCAAAGGTTGTCTTTGTTCACGGCCTTTCCAGGTTTCGGTATAAATGATACTAGGACAGTCTCCCACTGTATTGGGAGTGGCACTTCCCCTGACCAAATTGAGCTGAAATAATCTAACAGTGATTCATAAGCCGGGTGGGGAAGGTTAGCTAACATTTTCACAGCAATTTTGTCCCGACCCGGAGCGGTGCCACGTTTCATTTTAGTCAAGGCTTTCCAAATTTCGAAAGGCTCGAATGGGCGATCCAGTTCCACATTCTGCGCACCCGCGTAGGAGTATGCCGATCCACGTGGGTCCCGTGTTGAGCACAGGTACTGGTCCTTTAATTTGTGCGCCAGCTGGGTTGCATTACCTTGAAAGCTATGGATTGCCCTTTGTAAGTGTTTTTTTTTTCAGTTTCGGTGCGGGTCTGCGTTGAGTCTATGAGCAGACGAAACAGCCTCCAAGTATTTTTGCCGGACATCTGACGCGCTGCTGTGTTGTATCTATTCATCCAGTTGGCGTACGCGAGTTGGGCCGCATACTTGGCCACCTCCTGAGTGAGCTCGGCAATTCGAGCTTTAAGTTTTCGGTTATGCTTCTGTCGGCGCCATCAGCGAACAAGGCAATGCCGTGCTTCCCAGAGGTGGAAGAGGTGGTTATTCACATCCGAGACCACCTCTGAAAGCTGAATTTTGGTTTCAGTGGAGCAAAGGTTACTAACTGATTCGCGGGACCACGCGTTGTAGCCTTGCTTCAGTATCGATGTCGCTGTGTTATAATTGTGCCTAAATTTTGATCAGTCTGGGTGCCGGGCCTGAGATATGGGATGTGCCAGTGGTTTGGTCCGGACTATTGTATTCAAAATGCAGTGGTCGCTACCGAAGGTTTCCTCCATGTTGACCCACTCTGCATACTGAATGTTGCGGGTAAAGGTCAAATCTGGACGCGTATTTCGTGTCACAGAGTTGCCTATCCGAGTTGGGTGGACCAGGTCGGTGTAAAGAGTAAAATCCAGCGTTGACGTAAGTTCCGCCAGCTTGCGTCCACGCTTTTCTTCATGGTGGTACCCGCAAACTCGACTGGGGGCGTTGAAGGCACCCACAATCAGGAGGGGGTCCCTACCGGCAGCTCTTAGCACGTGGCTAAAGAGGACCGAGAATGAAACAATCGACAGTTTCAGAGCGCAGTATATGTTGAAGATATGTAACGGTGGATCTTACTTACGCATGGGAAGTAGGGTCACCATTACATAGGAGTATTCCAGTTGGAGGCCACGGTCGACCATGGTGGCAACGCAGTATTTGTGAATGCAAAGACAAGACGAGATGTCCTGTTGGAACGTCGTATAATTTTGCAAGGTGGTGCCCTTTTCTGGCTCCTGAAGTGCAACCACGACGGGCATATGACTAAATGTACGAGACCGGAGTCCCCGACGGCTCCGCTGAGTTACTATAGTATGGGAAGCCAATTTAGACTTGGAGGATTGCCTACACGAATGGTGTCCCACCATTATCAGCAATAGGAATTACATTTGAGAGGGTCATAGCTCCAGAGCCAGCTCCTTGGGTCTGTACTTCTATCCCAGAGAGGAAGCCACTATCCTCATTGTCGTTGAGAATGATTTCTCGATGGGAAAATTTGCTAGGGTGGTTTTTTTTCGCACTTCTCCAAGCAGAATTACATCTCCTTCTTGTATACTTGTGTGACCCTCTATTTTTCAGCTGGCCCACTTAAGCTCCCTCAGGTACTCCTTTTTCCATCTGGTCCACCATGTTATCATAGCCTGCTTTCTTGCACTCCAGTAATTCAGCAAACTGTATTCTCCGAGTTTCTTGTCTTCCTACTTGTTCATTGCTTGCCTGCCTCCTATAACGTCCGCCGGTGTGATGGGTTGTGGCTCGTTAGAATCGTCATACACATAATTAAGAGGCCGGTTATTAATTGCTCCTTCTGCTTCAACAACCACAGTATGTAGTTCTTCTTCATCAAATAGTTTTCTTAGTTCGGTATCATTTGAAGTCAATGTTCTTAAATTCATTCCCGCATTACAAAAAGTGTCTTTTGCTTCTTTGTATATCTTTGTCTATGTCGAGTATTTGTCGGCTTCAAGTAAAACGTCATCGATGTCGATTCCTTTCCGGAGTTGTGCCACAACTGCAGGATATTCCTCTTCGAATTTACCCAAATGTCGATGAATTGTGGCCGCTAGAAAAAAGTTACTTGATGTAGTTCCGAAAGTAACCCTGGTCATCCTCCATGTTTTTATCTTCGAGCTTGGCATATCTTCGCTGGGTATTCTTTCCCACCACAATAATCGCAGTGCGCCTCGGTCATTTTCGTGTATTTTGATCTGTAAAAATGCTTTTTCCACGTCGGCTGACATGGCGATGTTGTGATGTCGGGGTAAAAATTTGGCCCATTTTCCAAGTTGTCATTCAAGGATTTTCTGGATTCTGGCTTGACAATGCGTCAAAAACGATCTGTATCTTTGTAGTTCTTCGGTCCTTCTTAATTACCACTCGATGTGGCATGTAGTATACAAATTTGTTCGTATATCTGATTCGGCATCTTCTTCGAAGTTTTCAGCTATTTCTTCCTCGAAGTACTCTCGGATAGCTATGTCGTAAACTAGGAGGTCATCCTTGTATAATTTCTTTGTCACTTGGATAAGCCTTTTCTCTGCAACGGTGTTGTTGTCGCCCAATGTTACGCTTTCTTTCCATGGTAGCCCCACTTGGTATCTTCTTGTTTTGTTTGTCGGACGTACTCCAGCACATGGTCATCGCTCATCTTTGTTGCTGGTTTCTCCTTGATCCCCATGTTTTCCAAGTCCCAGAATCGCTTCAGTTCATCAACAATCGTGTCCAACTTGGCACTGACCTTGAGTACCATAATCGTCAATGATTTCATTGGCACACAATGAAGTCCAACAGCACCTTGGACTGTCCATCCCAACATCATTTTTATTGCCATTACTTTTGGATGAATCTCGCAAATACACCCAGTGACTACGGTCCAGTAATAATCTGCTCCAATTAATATCAGTTTCCATATTTTTTCTTTTTTTTGTCCGTCTTCTCACTGTCATCAGCCAAAAAAAATCCCATCGATCATGCTTTTTCATGTATTGTCAACAGTGCCGATGGTAGCACGTCACAGGATATAACTTTTATTTTTAGCGCCTCAATCATGACTCACTCCGAAGTGGTGTCCTTCCTCACGCATATCTCGACGACATTTATGTCTAGTTCTATCTCTCCTCCTCCAAATAATCCTACTGTAATCGTTATGGGTCTTATTACCATGTACGCTACTATTCAGAAACAGAAACATTATAGATAAACATATACATGTAAGGATGATGCACACATGCAAACAGTGAGTGAAAGTGTGCGTCTTGACAGTCTTTTGAAGATGAATGTCCTCCGCCTCCCATTGTCCAGCAGAATCTGTGCGTAGCACCCGTTGTTTTTTCCCTCCATCCATGGAAAGGCTGTCAGCAGTAGTATGCACTTGTGTTCACCAGACTCCTGTGCAGGCATGTTGCAGGACTTGCTGGTGTCTAACCAATCAGGTTGCGGGCTTATATGTACTTTCTCAACATCATACATATGTACATATATCTAGTGTATCGCCCCCCTTACTCAATGCCCCACCCCTGGGGCCTGTAAGGCACCTGTAAATAATAAAATAATAATAATACAGGCCTGTTTCAGAAGGACCAGAGAGACCGCAGAACCGATACGTCTTCGGATTATTATTGACAGAACGAGATTTTTAAAAATATAGACAGCGTGCCCCTGTCCACTTCTTCCTCGCCTCCAAGCTCCATTTTCAATCTTTTTTCTGCACACGCATACCTTTTGTCCGGTGATGAGTCACCCAGCTGTGATAAATGCGGCCAGTCACTCTCAGTCCTTCACATCTCACTGGAATGCCGAGAACTTGAAGCACTTGGGAGGAAACATTTACTGGTACCATTTTGACACCAAGTTCTTTACCTACACTTCTGTGCACTTCAATGGCACAGTTTGGAAAACAGGAGCTACACCTATGCTCTCAGGACTATATTGAATGCTACTGAGCTTACCTCAAATTATTTATGATTAACACATCTGCAATGGCTCGTCCCATTTCTGTGACTACTGCAGAAATAGAGGCACCCATGATGCAAATATTACAATGGCACACACAGCACAATGAACAAATACTACTTTATTTTTATTTATAATATAGCAGAGAGTTAAGGTAAAAAAATTACCCACATTTGGGCTGATAATTATTGTAAAGCACCATTTTTGAACTGAGGATTGACTTCATCACAAACATATACTGGTTAGCTATACTTCTTTCTTTAGGTTATACATAACAGGTGTAAAACTTGCTCATAGCCTTTGTGACACATACCTAGCAGCACTGAAATATTTTCATAAGTCATTTCGTTAAAGTTATAAAAAACATGCAGACTTCAAAAGCACTTGGTTGTAATGCAGTTTTTTGTGACCCTGAGCAAGTGTCAAAACTTTTTTTCTTCAGAGCTGCATAGAAATATGCTGTTGCTAATTGTCCGTTCTACAACTTTGATGGCTGTGCAAGCCTAAGGCAATCATGCATCTGAGTCAAGCTCTCCTCGAGGGCATCTCTGAAGTTTGAAGTGGATGTAGTGGCACTGCTGTTGAAGGATGACAGACCAAAGGTTACACTGTGTGCTTGTGGGTTATAACAGCAGCCATAGCCATCCTTGACAAGCGGGCCATAGAACATGACTGCATCACACTGTGTCGCCACCTGAAAAGTTAATGAGTCCTTTATACATTGCCCAAAAATACGTCTTGGAGACTTACTGTAATGTACAAAAAAAGTTGGGAAGCCACAACCATTACGATTACACTCCTTGACCTCACTATTGTGAGCAGAAAACAGGAGCGCTGGTATGTTTTACAAGCATCAACAGTACATCATGCTTTGCTTTAAAGGGGCACTGCCATTTAATTTCAAAATCTAGATGTGCCGTTCATTCGATTGCTCGGTATGCACACGTCCTATTGGCCAAATTTGAATGATGTCCGTGGCAAAGAAGTTATTTTATTTCAACGGCGATCAGCCTCCAAAAGCTCAACGAAAAATTCAATGGCCTGCCGAGATCTACACTAGTGTTATGTGTTGGCTCTGATACGATCCACAGATGCCATTCTGAGGGACAATGTGCTGGTAGCGATGACATCTAACACCCGAGTGTTCTTATCCCAGCACTGACTGTCGCCAATGCCTAGAAATGCTTTCACTCTTCATTTTCATAGTGCTGTCTGAATGATTTCATAAAATCACAAGACACAAACAGATTGGCGAAAGAAAAGAGCATGATTCAAGGTGTGCTCATCAGTGAGCATGTCGGGGAACCATTGTGAGCTGCAGTCATTTGGTTGGAAGCGCGGAAAAAGCGTAATGAGTGTGTCGTTTCAATAAATGTATGTTACATGCCAACTCGACCACAAGCTATTAAAGTGGAGCAGCATGTAGATAGATATCATGGCTAATAAGTAACATGCAGGTATCTTTAATAGTGAATTTTAGTTCGTCCGTAGGCTTCTTTGCATCTGCATAATACCAGGGTACTGCCACCTTAACCATCCGAGGCCAGATACCGTATTCACTCGCATAACAAAAGCACTTTTTTTCCACAAAATTCGGCGCCAAGTTCAGGGTGCGCCTCTTACGCAGGTAAGATTTTCAAAAATTATATTTCTAACTACAGCATGAATACTGATAACGTAAATCACTGAATATTCGCGCTACAGCCAAACCTTCTTCATGTACTACACTTGCACAAAACTGTTGAGGATGTAGTCGCGCGTACACGAGAATCCAAGCATGCGATAAGGTGTGCTTACAAGCATTAAAATTTTCAAGAATTAACACTGAAAGACTCGCACAGCCAACAAAATGAACGTGGAAAAAAAAATTTCAATAAGACAGGGCCATTGCGGAAATTTGCCGATTAAGCATAAACAAGGCCACCTTGATTATTCGCAATTTGACGACTGAAATTTTATGTACTGAACGACACCAATTATTAATTTAACACCATCCCATATACAAAGACACCGCAATCGAATTTCAAACCACCATTCAGGTGTTACAAGTGCCACCCATACCCTCTTACAGACTTAACATACAAACGTCAAAAGAACAGAAAACGCAACTTCTATCGCCCGCGACCACCACCAAAAAGCAAAAAACACTGATTAGGCCTAGCCTACGGTTCGGTATGTTGTTGCAGGAAGTTTGTACAAGACAACATGAGCATTGGCCGTTGAAAAGATCGTACACAAGCACTGATCCAAGAGTAGCGCGCGTCATACAATGTTCACGGCCGCTGGATGAAAAAGCGCACGATACGGCCTGCCGCGTGGAGCGACTTTCTATGGGAGAGCGCGTGGCGCCCGTAGGGTCAGTTGCGGCCGCTGCAGTGCGATGGGGCGGGGACAAGAGGGACAGGGAAACAAGTGGCGGCGGCTCCCTCGGGGCGGCAACGACAGCGAATTAGCTGGCCCGTGATTGTCACAATAGTGACCCACTCAGTTGCTTTAATTAGAGTTTTAAAGACGATAGTCTTTCTTGGGGACCTTCGACGAAAAAACTTTGGTCTGTCTGTCTGTATATTTGTCTGTTTGTCTACCCTTACCGATACCTCACGCGGCACCAAACAGCCAACCCCATCCGCAGCGCCCACCAATATTGCTCAAGGTTTAGTGTTCATGGTTGCGCGATTGTCAAATTAAAAAGCGAATATTTCACATGTCTGAGGCGCCATAACAACACGTCTATGTTTTGTATGTCTGCCTTTATACTAGAAGGGGCACACACAAGTAACTCTAGGGACTGTAGCGTTTATCGCGCTGCGCTGACAGTGGAACGCAATGCTCAAAAAGGTGTTTCTAACGCTTTGCTACGACAACATTATGGTGGCACCTGCCCGTTGCTTTGCATTCTATACTTTATCACCACCAATACTAGCGCGGATCTTTTTCCTCGGGTGCGCATGCCTTCGTTTTCGAAGATAACTGCCAGATGGCTACCGTGCCTTGATGCGCTCGTTCGCCTCCGCTACACGCTCGAGGCACTCTAACGCAGCCCCTCCAAGATACCATTCACCGATTTTCTTGCGCATAACATCAAATAAACGCTTTGTTCATTCTCTCCAGACGCAAGACTATCGTCTTTCGACAACATTTGCAGTGTGACGTGCAGATTCGAGCCAATTTTTTTAATCTCATTTATCGCAGCGATGACATATTGCATATTAAGTAAACTATAAGGCGCTATCTAGTTAAAAAGCCAATTGATTTCGCCTGTGTGCGCCAAGCACCTGAATTTTTTTTTTTTTTTCAGAGCCAGCTTATTGCTTTGAGGCTGAAATAAAAACCCACAATACATGTAGCTGAATCATATGGCACTGAATGCATGACAAAGTCGTTGTTCTATTTATGAAGATGTCTTAAACTTAAATCTTTCGATTTTTGTGGCATTTATTCAGCACTTTCGTGTTTTCTTAGCCGGAATGCTAGAAAATTTTTTGAACACTTGACAATAGACATTCATAGTTTTTGTATGCTGAAAGCTTATCAAAGAAACATAATTTGAATAGTTTTTATGTCATCCTTGGACGCTGGATAAAAGTGGTTTCTACAAATGTAACTTTTTTATTGAAGAGGCTGTGAAAGTATACATCATTAGAAGTGGCATTCAAATTTCTTGGTATTATATTTCTTACTAGGTGTGTGTGTGTGTATGTATGTATATATATATATATATATATATATATATATATATATATATATATATATATATATATATACACATCTGTGTGTGTGTGTGTACGGCCAGGTCAAGTTACAACCACATTTTTATTACGTTTACACATCGCAAAACCATGACTGCTGTAGAGCAGTCAAGTGCACGTGACCTGCCTACGTTTGAGTGAGCACAGGTGCCAATTTGTCGACGATACAAAGTAGAACAAATAAAGAGTACTGAATGACAGAACCACATGACGGAAACTGCTAGAAGACAAGCGCATTGGAGTGCTATCGGGATTCGCCAGTGCCCGTGGAGAGGCTAACATGAAAAGACCGAACGGATGGTTTCATTCTCGATAGGCACAAAAGCCAAAACTTGAGTGCACAAGCTGGAGCAATCGTCAAGTTGTTTTATTATGCAGAGGTGTAAAGACAACACAAAAATGCCAGGATCAACACTAATTTAAGAATAAAGAAAATATTTTCACGTATCTTGTTCCGGTTATGTGTTCACTTTTTTATTAGTTGCATTATCATAAGAACTTCGGGAGCGATAGAGACGAAAACATTCAAAAGCGCAGTAACGCAAGCAGTTTTGTTCGCATTTTGCAGCATTTCGTTGCTCTTTTTGCCTAACAGTTCTCATATTATTCACCTCATAACTCTCGCTCAATTGCCAACATTGAAGTTACGGTCACTGAAATTTCAAAGAGCCTCGAGTCCACTGTTATGAAATCGCACACATGCAATGTATATTTCGTGGCTGTTGCATCTGATACTGTGTTGTATGAATACTATAGACGTGTTTGGAGGAAGTGAAAAGTCTATCTTATTTTGTGTTTAAGGAATAGTGGCAACAACAATTGCTGAGGTTACTGATTCTAAATGAAATGAATAAATAGGGAATGTTTTCTTACACGACATTCTCACAGTTACTATAATGAATTTAGATGCATTGGAAAGGTGTAGCTCTACCAAATCTGTTAGTTATGATCTTATATAATCCGAGTAAAATGTGCTCACATTTATTACTTCCGCAAAAACTGATCGGTGTGCAAGGATCCATCTCGAATAAGGCAATACCGAAAATTTGCAAGGACTGCAGGTATCTAAAAGCAAGGTCGGTAATTACCTGGTGAGCACACGTTATACGGATATTAAAAGAAGATTTCACGGGTGACACAAAGATGCACGCGCTCAATCGTAACTACCGCAAGCGCGCCGCGCATGCGATTCAATGGGCACTCGTGAAAACTGTCCCCCCCCCCCTGGTGGCGCCGCTGTCTAGAACTAGACCTGCCACGCCGGTTTTGGAGCACGCGACGGGCCGTACCCATGCACTCTTTCATCCAGCGGCCGTGCAATGTTTAAGTTCGCGGCCGGGAAATTAATGTGACAAAAGTCTACCGAGCTTGCGCAAGCCCACTAGCGACAGCGAAGGCGAAAGCTCGCGTCAAAAAACCGAATAGCTTTTAAAGTTGTGGACGAACAAGCAAACGCGATAACCATGATGAGGATGCAATCGCACATTCCTTGCGAAGCGCACATGGTCGGAGCTACGCTGGCTCCGGTGCAAAGGTTACTCCGACGCCCAGACAACCGCCCTTCTTCCTCACTCGGTGAGCCCATGCAGCGCTGCCGTGGTCTTTTTTTTTTTTTTTACAAAAGTGTTTAATGTCGAGGTCCACCACGGCTCCGCTGACGTATTTCCGCCATGGCTATAACCTTGGATAATTCGTACTAACAGATTGCAAAGGAAACAAATGAGAATGAATGATTCTCTCACGCGGCTTCGAACAACCAACCTCTCGATTCGCACCGCACAGCGCTAGCCACTGTGCCACAAAGGGCACTTTTTTTTATACATAAAATAATCCCCAGTAAATGTGAACTATGCACAACATACTTCACCACAAGTCAGGCAAACACACACACACATCTAGAAGAGAAAGCCACTCTGAAACAGAGTACATATTCGAGGCTGCTAACATCAATGCACTGTTTGATGGTCTTCAGAGCTTCGAAACTTTAGCACATTTTCGTTATTAGTAGCCAGATGGCGCGACAGGCTCGCGCTGGGTGCGCTCTAAAGGTCATCGTCTTCACGGAGCTTGGTCTTTCCTACACAAGCACTTATCAGACTCCTAATTCGGCAGAGAGCGGTCACTTCGCTCGCTGCTATGGCCGTGTTTGTGAAAGGAGCGCGCAACTGACACACGATGAAGAACTGTGACAGTTCTTCAAGCTTGTCTTGTGTATACTTCTGTGCGCATTTCGTGTGTTTCTGTTTGAACAGCGCGCTTTAGGTGTCGAGCTGTGACAGTTGTTAGTCCATGGAGTGTCCTGTGTATGCTGATTTCATGTGTGCTTGCTGTTAAGGTGTGCGCTGCAAGTTTCGAGCTGCTGGCTGTTTCTCACGTGACTTTGCAACTCGTTGCTGTTGCTTAAACTATGTAAAATAGATGCTAAACTACATGTGTGAAGACACGTCTGACTTTCGTGTTATACAGATTCTTAGAATAGAAGGATCATCCATGTTTTTTATTTTATTTTTTCTTTCTTTAGTGAAGTAATGGGGCGTCCAATCGCAACTGATGCAAATACGGTACAAAACTGCTGATCACGGCCAAGTTCGGGGGGTGCCTACTATGCGCAAAATTTTTTTTTTAAATCTGAACTGTCGTATTATACCCTAGTCGAGAGCTTTCATGGTGATGACGGCAATGCTGGTGACAAGGCATGACTGAACGTCTATCAGGCAGAACGTTAGCCCCCACATCATTCCTTTCTGTGGAGAAGTGGTCAGCTGTGGCGTGATCTGGAGCTGACCGCGAGGAAGCTCTCCCAGCGCTAAAAATGGTAAGCTAATTGCCATCCAATTTGAATCGTGCTAGATACTGGTGATATAAATCAATAAAACTGATATTTATTAGTTCATTAGTTGAATTTTGAGTCACGCATCACTACTAGGGGGTCGATAAATACTCGTAGATACAAAAACCTTGAAATAAGTAAATTCATTGTAAGTTCTCCTTCAACAGCTTGTAATCTACACATATATGCCCCCAAGTGAACAGTCTTTTTGACGACCAAGACCATGGAATTCTTTCAGCAAATTCTGTAATTTTCCTCTACTTTTTGATCTCTCATACTAGCATCTGATATTCCAGTTAAGCATAAAGGTTGGTAAAACAAAGTAAAATGAAGCACTTGGTTGAAGCAATACATATTCTTGGATGAAAATCTGGGCATTTGAGTGCAGCAGCTCATAAATTTAGCAGAACAACTCACCTGACTAGATGATATTTTGAACTCTGTGCTGATGCTGTATGCTGGATCTTTATACAGTTCAGGCAGGGGAATCTCATTCTCAATGGCAATCATTTTCAAACCAAGCAACAGCCGGTCCACACCAAGTCCATTAATAGCCTTGAATAAGAACATAGAAAAAAATGCTAGACTTTAAGCAATAATTTTAAAAGAATTTGCAACTTTAGTCAACTTCATAACCATAAAAATTAGAATATGTCGTTAGCACACTACACATTGGTTCATATACTCATATAGCCATGGCAAACTGTTCCCAGCCCTAACCACACATACAAACAGCTCAAACTCTAGTACCAAAGGGGACCTGTCATTGTTGCAGAGCTGCAAGAAATGACGCACAGCAAAGCAGGCAATAGGACAGGACATGTACTAGCATAGAATGCAGGGGTTTAATCTGTGATTGCACGCATATTGTATGCAAGTTGTACCCCTGTCACACTGGAGGAGTTAATGCAATCAGGTTCAAATGTTTTTCTGAGCAACGAATTTCATTAAATCCGTGGTGGTTCTACACTAGAAAAAGTAATGTTATTCATTCATGATGTCAATCTTGGCAATTTAGAGAAAAATGCATATAAAAGTTGCGGAAGGGAAATGTAGAGTGATGAAAAAGTGATGTTATTAAGGACTTCTAAAAACATGTGTGAAATCACTTTGCTAAATAAATATACAAAGAAATTTTATATTGCAGAATATATGGCCACCATAAGCCAAGACGGTCAGCTTAGCCAGTAGCCACAGCCAATAGAATAAACACAAGCAACACGGCGTGCACGGTGTGACAAAAAAAATATAGAGGATTGTAAACGTGTCACGCCTATTTAGGTTTTCTAGAACACAAAGATATGGATGCACACATAGCATAGCTTGAGGTGCGGCCACATCCTTAATAAAAAGTCAAAGAATTTCGTATTTGTTGGCTTTACAACATGGTTTTACAAACGCCCATGCAGGCAAACAGCTTGCAACCAAACTGCCATAGCCTTAAGAGAGCAAGCGTCTCTGCTTGGGTTCATTGCGCTCATGCAGCTGATGCCATCACTGCAGATACATGCATATGCATGCACAGAGGCATCTACTTCTTTACATCATGATGGCCGACAGCGCCGGCAGCCAGGTGCCACTCAGGTGGAGAGTATAGACATTTGGGACAGCCTTCTGTGCGCATGTCCTCATTAACATGATAGATACCCTTAAAAAGCAACATTAATAGTATGTTTGCATGAATGCAGGTCAAATTAATAAAGCCAAATGCCATCTTTTAAGCAGTCTCTGGGGTAGAAGGTATACATTCGGTTCGACTGCAATGGCGAATGTGTTTCTCGAACTCATTCGATCGCCTAAGTCATTCGATTCTAAATACAATATCTATCTCGGTGTAGCAGCCACCTAATGTCACTAGATGTGATCGCCATTCCATTCAAATGACATTACAGCATTCAATGTAATAGGCATATTAGCCATGGCCAGAGGAGCGGGAGAGGGGAATGGTTGAGCACCCTAGACACAGTGGGGGTTCCACGGTATTCAAACCTACCCTGAAAAATTTTTAAGTTTGTATGTATGTATGTATGTACATGTACACACACATACACGAACATAAACAAGGGCAAAAGTAATCTCTCCTACATCACACCAAGCCGTTATTTTCTGACAAAGTACAAAATACATATACGGTAAAACCTGGTTAATTCAAAGTCACTGGAGCCACGAGAAATTTTCGAATTAAGCAGGTTTCCAAATTGACAGATTATACATAAAGTGGGATGGAAGGAACTTGGAACTATTCAATGTAATCAGTGCTCGTCGTTTGCTGTGCCGGCTAGCTTGCGGCTCCAAGGGTTATGTTTTCCAGCAATACCTGGAATAAATTTTGCCGCAAGCATGGGGGAAAGATAGGCCTAGGGGAAAGATAGGATAGGAAAGATAGGGGAAAGATAGGCCACAGGGAAAAAAAGAAAAAAAAAAATGATGTGATAACTGAAATGTGCGCCTGCAGAGAACAAGACGTCTTCATTGCCACATAGTAACGACACGCGGGCAGCATATCGCCTGCTCCTCGCTGCATCAGCACGTCTTGATGTGACCATTGGCACATTCTTACTGGTATAATTAGGCACTTAATAATTACCTGTATGACAAAACTCGCGATGTCTTTTGGCTGAAAAAAAAAGATCTTTAAAACTTTCGAGCTTGGCTTTTGAAGTAGGTGTTGCTGGCATGAACTCCACTAGCAGTGCAAAGACGTGAATCGCTGGAGCAACCAGTAATTATAGGTTAGCATACATCGCGAAATCCACCAAAATGTCCTTTATTAATTTCTTAACAATCCCAGAAAGAATGGCTAAACCATGACCAGCTGACGTTGCGAGAAACATGCAGTACGCTGCCCCCGCATCACCAATTTGTTGCAGTGAAGCTTGTCTAGTTTTCCGCAGGCACACGTTTTGATTGACCACAAGACCAATTTTCTTTTTTTTGCTTTTTTGCTTTTTTACACTGGAAATAGCGAGGCTGGGGAGCTTCAGCTGCCACTCATTTGTATCGCTACATTGCATCGCCTTGTGGCTATTAGGGGCCATTGTTTCCGCGGATTTGTGGCAAAATCTGGATCTGGAACTGGCCCATGGCACACACAAAGTTTACGAATTAACCGGACTGGTGCAGGCCATCACTTCAAATAATCACCTGAAGTTTACATTGCAAAATATGGGACCGTGGAAATCTTTCAATTAAGGGGAATTTCAAAATAACCGAATTAGAATTAACGAGGTTTTACTACGTATATTAAATGATTGGTAATGCAACTAATGACCTTCTTTGAAAAAGAAAGTTAAATGCCATCACAGTTCTTGAAACATAATAGGCATGTGCACAATCCAGTTTATACGCCACATCTTCGGCTACTAGTTCTGCGACCAAGTCCAATCGAGGCTGTGGTGACGGTAACAGCTTCCGCAGTTCCTCCCTAATGATTGCCGACATCATTTCGTGCAGGTCGTCGGAGTTGAGGGCGTGTAGAGCTGCACTGTCTGGAGACAGGCGATGACTGTACTGTTGAGTGCACATTTCTAGTATCTTCTGAATTGTCACTTCCGACAAGAATTCCACATCAGTCCCACAAAGAGTTCCTATTTCACTCCTCGCATGAGGAAACGAACTTTCCTGTCTTCAGGCGTGGCTGGATTTGCGTGGCGAAGGTCTTGTCACTTCCTCCATCACCAGTGCCACATTTTCATTTTTCAGCTGTACATGAGTTTCGAGCATAGCCTCGGCTCTTCCCTTGCGGACAACGTTGGTGAATGGCGCCAGAAACTTGGCATGAAAAGCGTCCCATGTTGTCAGGGCTCACTCTTGGTTTTCGAACCCTGTCCTGGCTGCATCTTCCTGGGCAAGGTAGATGTGCTGTAGCTTGTCTTCACTGCTCCAGGCATTGAAAGCATCCACGCGGTTGTACGCTTCGAGCCAGCTATCCGGATCTTGGAGTGATGAACCGTGGATACCGCATTTACTCGCATCATTTACACACAGTTTTTGGTGATTCTGGCGCTCTGAGAAGGGGGTGCACAAATTACGCAGGGATTGTGCGAACCCATACAAAATGATGTTCAATAGTCCGAACACGTGAAGTATGCAGATTGAAGAAAATAAAATAAATTGGAGCACAAACAAAGCGTATTTGTTTATTTAACAAAATTAGCACATACTTCAACCAGTCAGATCCAGTCACATGCGGTCTAGTCGAAATTGCTGATCAAGAGGTTCGATTGATATTAATCGTCGTGGCCACTCCCACCGCCCTCCCAAAGTGCATTGCCTTGAATTCTGTCCAGCGTGTTTGAATGTCCTATTTTCTTGGAGCTCTTCTCAGAAATGCTAGAAGAAACTAGGTCCCACGACACGGCGATACCGGAGAACCTAAGCGTTCCCACATAATTGAGAAGTCTTTCAATGGCAGGACACTTGTATCAGCAAATGCGCTCTTTCTTTCTTCTGTACCGATCGTGCCGATTGTCACACGCAAGAGAACTTCACACTGAAGTGCTTGGTGGTGGCACGATTTCTGTTTTCTACAACAGACCTCACAAGAGCGAGCTTGAATTTTATTGTATAAATACTTACTATCCCATCGCAAGAACAATAAAAATGCGAAAAACAGATTGAAAAGCCTAAACTTTTGAAATCAACGAAGTCTGCATAGCAGCGCAGACGCAGAGAATGAGGGGAACAGTTGGCGCGACAGGCCCAGCAGGTCCTCTCACGGTTCCGGTGCTGAAAGTTGTCCGTGCCATGACGTCAGCATGCATTCACATGGCAGTAGAGATGGAAAGATAGAGGGGGGCAAATGCTTGAGCAGATCCGGCCACCCGTCAACAGATTTGAGTGTTTGTGTATGGTATTCCAGAGATCCTAGTTCTGGGGTACTTTTTGGAAGAAGCGACTTGCAGCCCGTTGGACTGCACTCGCCTGATCGGCGGGGTGTGCATCCGACGGGCCCGTCGACAGGTCTACGGTCTCTTCCTGCGCTCGGCGGCGAGCTGGCCCGGGCAGGTCGGGGAGCGTAAAACATGCAAGCAAATATTTTTTTTCGTAAAGCTGACAAATTATTAGGGGTGCACAAATTACGCGATAGTGCACATTATGCGAGTAAATACGGTAGTTGGTGGCTCCCTGAGCTGCCGGAGCCGGATCGTAACCAGGCGGCACAGATCCTGTCATATCAAGGTCAGGGTCTTGGTCTGCCGGCTTCTTTCAGATAAAGCCCTAAACTCTGGCAGTAGACTTTGCTGCCTGCAGCTTGCTCGCTGCTCAGAGTTGGCGCCAGTGTCTTCCTTGGCACTTGAGCTGGGTTTATGGCTTGATGGGGGCGTCTGGAACATGAAAGAAGCAGCATCTCCACCAGATGTCATGTAGTCGTAATGTCGACGAAGGCAGGAGTCGATGTGTCAAAAAAGAGACTCTTTATTTGGTTGAACTTGTGGCTGGGAAACTGAAGGTCAGATTACAGCAATACACACCGGCACTGATAGCGGCGAACAGAGCACCGGCAATCGATCACCTGACAAGCAGTGATGAGCGTGGGCATTTATGCGTTGTGCCGCAGAATATTCCAGCATTATCACTAGCAGCCAGGTAAGTTCCAGAAGAATGTGTGATATTCGCATCTCGAAATCAATCTCAACAAAATGATCTACTACAGCCCTGAAGCTTCTCAAACACTGCAAACACTGTTTGCACTGAGCGTTACTTGCAGTCGTTGTAGGCAATAACTGAATACAGCAGAAGTGAAATAATAAACATGCGTGGCAATATTTTGCTACTCTTTTCTTTCTTTTGGTGCAGTGTAATCTCAGTAAACAAAAACCATTCAAGTAGAATCATTATATCTCATTCATTTGATTGTTTTTCTATCATACGACCACACATCTCTTCCACTAAAGAGAAACACCCTTGCCTTGGCTAGCTCCCACAAGCAGTGTGCCTACCCTGTGTTCTCCAAGGTATCAGAGCTGAGGGACCATATCATGACCACGATGACCTCTGCTTCCGTTTTTTTTCCTATTTTTATTCGTGACTTATTTTTACAAGGCAGCATTACACATTCCACATAACATGACTATGGCCATGTGCCATGGTCACACATTGCCTGCAGTGCATTTTGCATAGGACCATCCACGTGTGGGACCTTGACACATGATTTAAGTGCAGCCCAACAGAGAGGAAATGTGTGGACTTCTGCTTCAAATTCAGACTGTATTGCGCCATGCAGATGCTTTATAATTTGCAGATACAGTCATCACTGCTTCTAAGCACTGTGCTTCCTTCTTCACTTGTCATCCTCAAATTGGGTGATGGGCTTTTAAAAGTTCAATTACAATTACCAAGCAATACAGCCATTCAAGCTATACAGACAATGCCTGCCAAGTTGTTCTAAACATGCAGATTCTTACCAAATTTGTATAGTCCTTGTGGTTCTGTACAGCTTTTCGTAGACTCTCTACCTTTTCTGTGAGCTTGGCCTGACTGCTTTCAAATGTCTTGCAAAAAGCCAAACTTTCATTCGAAACTGAGCGGATAGTATCAGTGCGCCCGTGAATAAACTTTCGTGTGGAAGCACTCTCATATGTTGCACCGGGTGCCTTGTAAATCCTACGAAGAAGCATATGAAGCAAGTTATAAAATATTCCAAGTTATATAGAAGATCAACTTAAAGTATCAGTATAAAGCAAGTTATATAAAAGAATCAGCAAACTTGAAAATACCACAGTTTGTAATATTTTCCAGATACTTAAAACAGGTGCAATTTAGGTGCTCTTACACTTTACTAAGTCTCAATTTATATGCTGATGTCCTTGCTAGAAAAAAACTAAGTTCAAGGCCATGTTTTAAAAGAATATCCATATTCTAAAAGTTCTCTCTCTCATTTTTTCTCTTGTGGCAGTAAGCAGACCTCCATGGGTTAGTTATGAAGCCATCAAAAAAACATCTTTTTTTGTTAAAGGAGAGGGAAGGAAAATACAAAATGCACAGTTTGCCAACAATACATCAGATCCAAAATACAAAACTCAAAATTTAAAATATCAAGAAGCAGTATACACAAAAAGGTACACATTAAACATATAAAGTGTTGAATAAAAAGTGAGCAACATTTTCTCGGTATGTGGATTGTTATGGTTATTAATCTTAAGGCTGTACAATACTAACCACTCGAAACTATACTGATGACGTGCCATCACAAGTCAGAACGAATCTTTAGCAGCTAGACAAGCTAAACTATATTATGCTGATACAGCCTTTGCAAATGCTCACAACATGTTAGAGATACCAACAGGAACTGACATTCAGGCCTCTTTGTATTTAAGCATCACTGCCTTCCAAAGCCTGGAGACAAAAGTCTGATTCCACTTTCATTACTAGATGAGGAAACAATTTCTTTTTTTTTTTAGTTCAAAATTATCAGCCTTTTCAAACAATCATATGTTTGTTTTATTTAACTTAGCTGTAGAAGGAACATTAAGAAACAAAATCAAAAACATGGTAAACTACCCTAAATACCTGTAGTTCAGGGTTTTATTGCTGTAGACATATTTAGCTACTCATAATAAATTTCGGATATTAATTACTGGCTTTGGTACTATTTGCAGTTTCTTTTGAGACTATTTCCATGGCATTGACTACTGTTGTCCAAAATTGTGCTGAAAAATATTTGGCTTACGGAAAGCGTCCAAGTTTGAAAAGGGCATTTTTTTTTTTTAATATCTCTGGTTGAGGTCAATGGTTTCGTCAACCAATGAGCATAAATCATAAATGTTGCATTATCTGAGTTTCTAACACGTTATAATGCATCAGATGTGAACAACAATGACTAGTGGGTGTGACTTTGCTATTGTGCTACAAATAGAAAAGCTACCTTGAGAGTTTTCATAGCATGACATGTGCCTTGTTGGTAGCTTTCACTATTTGCAGTAACATATTTCTAACTCATTCGCCCTTTGGGTGTCGTTTTCAAGAGTAAGTGGAGTTCACCCCTATTCAAAGTCTCCTTTTTTTCCCTTTTTCTTTTTAGTGCAGAATGGTAGACATCTTTGGCAATAATCAGAGAGATTTCCAAAATAATTAAATAAGGTGGTCTCTCAAAAACAACTTTAAAACAATAACATTTTAGTACACAACACATGTTTAAGCACAATTGTAAAGTACAACTACAGGTGACAAAGTTCCAAATATCACCTCAAAATAAAGCACAAACATCAGTCGGTATCCACTTAGTTTTATTACCTACACTATAAGTTGCCCACAGCAATAAATTCCTGAACTTGGGTCCAATCACCAAGCTTTTGATTTTTTCCCTGAAGTCCACTTCACAGCAAAGTGCAATAAATACATCGTATTTACTCGCGTAATGAACCCACTCGTCTAATGAAGCGACCCTCCACCTTGGCCTTGAAAAAAGAGAAAGAAATACTTTTTTGTAATGTATCTGGTATTTTTATTTCTGTATGATAGCCAGTGTCATGACGATCGAAACAGCATTAAATCAAGGAATTATATCACAAAATAACAATGCAATAAAAGTCAAAACGTAGTTTTGCTACCATGCTAAACATTTGCAAGCAGTGTGAGCGTGGACGACGTCAATAAAAATTGGAAAGTCGTGCCTTTTACGCAAAGCGCCATCTCTTGAATGCAGGAGAAAACTCTTTGCTGATAGTGCCATCCAAGCACAGTGCCACAAAAACAAAGTGCATGGCCTTCAAACTGGGGCCCGCGCAGCATAGACACTCGTCGTGCGCTCACTATCTTGAAGGCCAAGCAAAACGCAACTGCACCCATCGCGCCGACTGCACGTGGTGCACCTGCAACATTTGTGCGCTGCCATCCGACGCAGTGTTTTACTGCAATAGCAATTATATACCGTATTTACTCTGGTAATAGACCCACTCACATAATGAACTCACCCCCACCTTCGCCTTGAAAAAAGAAAAAAAGCTTTTTTGTAATGTATCTGTTAATTTTATTTCGGTATGATAGCCAGTGCCGTTCACGATCGAAATAACGGTAAATCAAGGAATCATATCACAAAATAACGATACAATAAAAGTCAAAATATAGTTTTGCAATCATGCTAAACATTTGCGAGCAAAGCAAGCGCGAACGATGTCGATCCAAATTTGAAAGTCGCGCCTTTTCAGCAAAGCACCATCTGTTGAACGCACGAGAAAACTCTTTGCTTATAGCGCCACACAAGCACACCGTCACAAAAACAAAGCGCATGGCCGTCAAACCAGGGTTGCCAAGTTTGATTACTTTGCGCCGATTTGACTAACTTTTTTTAGGCCACTGGCGGCATAGAGTTAATATACAGACTCTAGAGAAAAAGCTGGGCTGGAAAAGCTATAACTATAGTGTACTAGAAAGGTTGAGTGGGGCGGTCCCCTACCAGCAGCCATGCTTTCAAACGACGCTCCGAACGCGGACAATTCAAGCGAGGGCGCTGCGGTCGAGGTAGTTCGGGAAGTGCCGAGGCGCGCGCGGTCAGATGCATGGTAACTGTGGTAGCAACTGAGTGGGAGGCTTCGGTGCTCATTATTTTTCGTGTTCGTCGTACCGCTGCCAGTATGCCAAAAAATCGTCATTGGCAGTGCTTTGCTCCAGGCTGCTGCACCGGTGTCGTCGTTTAGCATCCCAAAAAACGAAGACCGTAAGAAGCTTTAGGAGAAGAACTTGCATTGCAGCGAGAAGCCATTGGACGACCAATAGGCGGTTTGTGAGATGCATTTCGAAGACTGATATATTCTACAAGACAACATCCATGTTGTTAACAGGGAAGAAGTCTGAATACCACGCAAAGTCCCGGCGCTCACATGTGATGCAATTTCAACAATACTTCCAAATGCGCCAACGTACTTCACCACCTTGAAGCCCTGAAACACACACAGGGACAGTGCGTTCGGACAGAGCAGTCCTTTTTAGGCTCAGGGCAAGTCAGGAAGTCACCTTACAGATCTTTCTCAAGGGGAAACTGGTGTCTGAGCAAGCTGTGACTACAGTGAAGAAAGCCGAAGAGGCTCACCTTCGTGCCGAATGTTTCATTACGTATCCTGGTGCCGTGTATGCGTCCGCAATCGTCACAGATCATATGACGAAATTGCTTCTGATTAAGACAGACATCCAGGAGGGAACTATTTACAACAAAAATGCGTAACCACCACATAAGGTAATGCCTATGTTACTGTTGGCATCCACGCAAATGTAAGCCGCTGGTGACATAAATCGTGTGACTGTTGAACATACGTCGGTATCTTAAGCGCATTTTCATAACATTTTGCTTAATAAAAAAGTTATACCACAGTCACCTTCTACCACATAACATAGATTCCTATGGTACATGGGATCTGCCAAATTTTGTTTATATATTCCTTGTTTCAGCTCCAGACTTGCAAATCTCTGTTGTGTCCGCAGTCCTTTCTGCATGATATACTTTGTGGTGATGTTACCTTGTAATATCTTTGTTTTCATAATTCATTTCTCTAATTGATGTTATACAAGTGCTGCTTTCAAATAAAGATTACTGCATCATGCTCAAAATTATACACATTGCACATGTGTGTTTATTTATCTGCATACACCATAAGAATCATTTGAATAAGTTGACGTCTCGCCTGTGTGTATTAAAAAGTAGAATAAACCCAAGTAGTTAATGTTGTTTGGAGACATTAGCACAAAAATCTGACAAAGTAGCAAATACTGAATTCTTCTTTAGCTTTTGAGGGAGGTTTTAATGTCGGGTAAAAGCCGAGTAAGGAAACTTCTGAACGTATGTCATAAACTTTGATGTGGTCAAGACTTGGAGCTTCACTGTCGCGCACATACATTACGATTAACGGAATATTGCAAATGTATCTGGACTAATGTAGCTACAGTTACCCAAGGTATAAAATCAGAATGTAATAGGCTTTAAGTTTCCGAGCTTTGGTTTATCTGGGGGATCCGGCGAACCCAGCGGTCAGTGTGTCGAGTGAAGATAATGTGCCTGCTTTTGTAGGAGTTTGTCCCTTCCCCAAGGTGAGAATATACTTGCACTTCAAAGATCCAGCCAATGTGCAAGCTTGCGTAGGTGACTACTGAGGTTGAACCAATTTAAAATAACTGCGTTAACGGCATCGTAGCAAATGCTACACCCAAGCAGTTCTTGCAAGAACAGTTTGGTCCCATCCGACTGCACATAACCTGTGCTGCCATGCATGCGTGCACGAGCACTCTTCCTTTATATTGTTACGTTTGAAAGAGACTGGTAGACGTTGAAAGGGGCCATTTAACAGGTCGTGAGGGGCAGCTCAGAAGCGGCCGACTGGTTAAAGATCCTCCTGATCCTCTTCTTTCTCTCTCCCTCTGGGCGACAAGTGCGTTCACCGTATACGCTTCTTTGTCTTAGTGCATGTACACAACATTCCTCTCCGCACAGACGAAGGCCGCCGGACGAGTCAGTCGAGTTGTCGTGGCGTGTACAGTTTCAGGCGGGCAACATGAACCACTTGAGTTTTGGTAGCTCGTCGACCACTCGCCGTGAGACGAGCTATTACATAGTTGACCTCTGTAAGTCTGTCGACAATCACAAAAGGTCCATCGTAAGTGGCCAAAAACTTTTG